GTGTAGGGAGTGACAAGAAAAGTTGCCTGCACCGCAGAAGAGTGAAAAATGTGACTGCAGTATTGATGCCTTGATATGATTTAACTATGCAAATATACAAATAGGTGAGGGGGGAAAATTCTTGGGTTGCATACCTAATCTTAGTTTTTGCTCTGTAAATTACTCATACGTGTGTAGGTACATACATATACACACAGACATGCATGCACATATATATGCAAAGTCTTTTCTTTCCGTAGAAGTGATGAAACAAAACCCTTTCCTCCAAGTTATACCTGATCGTCTGGTGCAAATATAACTTGCTGCTGCTAAGGGAGGATCTTGGCTAAAGGCAAACTTTGGATTCACATGTTCCAGATTTGAAGACCTGTATATAGCAAACAGTTTCTTTAGCCTTTCTGAAGACCTTGGAATGTCATCTGGGACCCATGTCCTTCCTCTTACTCCGCTAATTTGGAGATTCCTGTATTTTAAACAGACATAATGATGGGCAACTTGTTAATTGTAAATTCTTTCATTTGGGGACGAAAGGTAATAAAAAGCAGCTGGACCTCTTCCTGGAATTCCTATCCTGTTCAGTCAATACCTCTATATTCTGGTTGACCTAGAAATCATAGCACCTGCAATAAAAATGATTGGTTTGGGAATTCAGTCTGTCTGAGAGTAGTTTTTAGGGCTATGTACAGCGTAGGTAGCACTTTGCATCTGCAAACATGATGTTCTTGTAGCAAGTGCTGTTTGCCTTTTCTGGAAAAAGGAGATCAAGGATGAGATGTGAAGTGACTTGCCCAGAGTCACGAAAGGAATCTCCTGGAGCCAGGACTGAATGAGAGGTTCCAGTTCCCTAGTGTTATCCTCAAATCACTAGGTTTTAATCTTTTAATACATTTGTCCCTTTAAAGAAACGGAAAAACAAGTTGACATATCTTAAAGACCCACATCAGGACAGTAAGGGCTAGAATTAAACATACAAGCTGTCGTGATTTGGGGTTGTATGTGTGCAGTAGCCCAAGCCGTTGCTCGCTACTTGGCAGTGCTTTGCACAGCCTTGCAGAGTGGAAGGCCAGCGCAATGTGTCGGCGTGAATAACAGCAGCAAATGCGTGTCCTGCTCTCTTTGTTCAGAATCACCCAACGAAATACGTCTCATTTGATGCTCCTCTTAACTGAGGAGGGAGAATACCATTTTGGAGTGAAGTGGGTTCATCTTTGTTCTACCAGCCTGTAGCATGACTGACCATTTCTTTCTCGTGGGGCTTTCTCTCTTTTTTTCTTTAAACCAAAATATGGAGGGCTTAATTGTTCTTTCCTGCCTCTTAATCCAGGCCTTTGCTGAGAAGCACCAGATAGGAAGGTTGTGGAAAACTTTGGACTACTGATTCAGGGACATCCTCTTTAAGATTTAGAAGAGTAGAGATATACAACATGTAAGGGATCTGACTATTCCTATTTCTCTTCTAATTTATGGTCAAGACTGCAGCTTCTGTCTTCCATTTCATGATCTTAGTGTAGGTACTAGGCTGTGTTTGTTTAGGATTTTTCCCTCCAAGTTAGGATTAGTTCCTTAGGGTTCAAATAAGTTCTAAATTTCACAGAGAAGCACCTGAACCAAAATCCTGGATCCAAACATCCCAGACTTGATGTGGAATTCAAATCTGGATCCCAACTCTGTGGCTTACTAACCTACCCATTTAGGGAAGGGTTTGTTGTCTCTACGTGGTGTTTGTGTTCTTGGTCCTTTGGAACTAAGCTTTTAATTTGGTTGCCAGTTCTGCAAGGACTTTTTAACTTCTTAGCAATGCCGGTGTTCACACGCTCCATTGCTGGCAGTGCGATGCGTCGTGATAAAATTTGACTCTGTCTAAGGGTTACCGAGATAAACCAGCATTATCATTCGTTAAAGGTCATTTTCTTGCATAGTGTTCTGAGCTTTGGATTTGAATATAGCTCATACCTGAAAGGACACATCTTCCAACTATGACCTGCATCACTGGCAGAGAGTTGTATAATCTGTACTTGTGGAATGGGAAGGTACAAGCTTCCATCTTTGCTGAAGCATCATGTGATCCACCTATTTTGTTTGTCTTAAACCTGTTGTTTGGTTTATATATTTTTTTCAGTTTTATAGAAAAAAAAAAACAAACGGGGAAGTTCAGGATTTTTTCTACAAGGTGTAAAACTCCAATGATTAGTGGTGACTAGAGAGCTGTGAAAAATACCCCATTAGGAGATGATGGGCTAAACGTAGGTCCGTTTCTCTTAGACAAGTAGGATAACCTTTAAGATGCATGGAACAACGCACTAGTTGGGAAAACTAAAGCTTGACATTTGTTTCCAAGAAATTATGTAAGAAATATCTATGGAAAAAGACATCAGTGATTGAGAATAATGTACAAATTAATGTGTTTGAAACTGGTGTATCCATTTCTTTAATCTCATACTCTTCAGTGAACGGTACACTTGTGTTCAGTTTTATGATCAAAAACAAAGACCAAAGAAGGCCAACCTCATTTGATTGTGTATATTCTGCCTGTCTTAATTATCAATAGCTGTAAGGATACAGTGCAAGTGATCTGGTAACCAGTGGTTCTCGTCCTTTTCTTTTAGGGGGAAAAACAACTTTGAAATGTATAATTTATTGCTCAGCAATAACCATGTTGTTAAAATAATAATTAAAAAAAAAAAAGGAATTAGCAACATGTCTTAATTTCCCAATAGCATTATTATATGTTGTATTTCAGTTTATTGTATATTGTGTTTTTGTATTTATTTGTGTTTGGAGGTCTTGCTATGTCTTTTTGTGTTTAAATGCTAATAAACAAGGACAGTGTGTAAGAGTGTAGAATGCTGAACTCTGAAATGCTAAACTGTGTTATTAAAGGAAAAATAAATCTAAGTAGGAAATCATATTTTTTAAAAAACAATGGTGTGTTGAATTTGAATGACTCCCGTTGACTTGCAAATGGCCAAGGTGCATCCTTTCTCCCCTCGGAACCCCCTGTGCCGTGGCTGCTTGGCACTTTACGCTTGCGCACCTGACAGACCTTTGCTGTGGCATTTCCCTTCCTCTTCATGGGAAACTCGACGTAACTTTGATAAAAGTCATATTTTCCAAGCGATAGCTCTGCTAGAATAAACTAGGCGACAGTGTTCATCCTAATGTTGGTGTCAAGAGTCCTTGCGCAAATAGAGTAGAAATAATTGAAATGGCTTTCGTGCGTTGGTGGTAAGGCTGCTTTCCCAAAGAGCTGTGGGAAAGGGAGAGACGGAGTGTGGCTTGGATGTCTGAAAATGTAGATTTATTTTATTTTTTTTTTTTAGTGACTCTTCTCAACTCAGAAATGCATTTCAGGTGTGCACTCAAAATCATGGAACACGGTGCCGTCTGTAAGAGCAGCACGCTGTTGTGAGCGGAGCGAAGCAATGGTATTTCCACTGCATTTCAGCCTCGGCCAGGTGATGAGAGCCCTGATGCCCCATGGTGGTGTATGGAGCACGTCACTTCTGCCGAGCCCTACACTGATCAGTCTGTCCTTCTGTTTCTTCTTCCCTCCCACCCCTTTCTTACTGAAATTCCCGTTTCCCCTCTTTCACATCACTGGAGGGGTAATCCTGGGTTTAGCAATGCAGGAATGTCTCGCCTGTGCTCGGAGGCAAGGCTGCGGTGTCTTGGTAAAAGCCGCCGCCGTGCTGCCGGCTCCCGAACGTGAGTGCAGCCCGGCCAGCCGACACCGGCGTTGGCAGCCGGCAGTCTGAACGTGCTGGGTGGCTGATGCCTGTTCTTGGTAAAATGGTGATGCCAGAGGAAAGGCAGATGCAGGAAGGGCATGGCGACAGGGATGGGCGGCCAAGAAATGCCGTCCTCGGTGTGCGCAGGAGGTGCTGAGGTGGATGTTCCCTTCTGCTTCTGTTGCTGGTAAGTGGCTCTGGGTGCTCCGGCATCCCCTGCCCTGCTCATCACTTGCACTCCCACGGCTGGCACTCGAGGCTGCGCTGCCTAAAGCTCTTCACATCCCTCGTGGTGGGGCGTGGAAGACTCTGAACTTCCTTGTCATCTTAACGAAGCGGGTTACCTTCAAGCACAGCCCTTGTAAGGAAGAGCAGCCTTTGCTACCTGCAGAGCTGCTCCTCCTTCCAAATTTTTTTGTTTGGTGCTGCTCAGACGTGATGCTCGTGTCATTACAGTGCAGCAGGATAGATGGAGAGGAAACAAATTGCTTTAAACGTGAAGGCAAGCACCGATTCTCTCCTCGCATCCCTGCTCCTCCTCCTCCCCCAGCAATGAATCATAATTGAAATGATACACGGTACCATTCCTGGCAAGATGAGTCTTTATGGAAGGTTTCTTCTTCACGGCAGGTCGCAGAAGGCAGCTGGCAGCTTTGCAGCTTGCTTTCCCCCAGCGGGCGATATGTTACTGAGGGCGATGGGAGCGGAATGCCAGCTCCGGGAGCGCAGGGTGAGGAGCGTTCTTGGTCTACAGAGGGTGCTGTGCAGACACGTACGTTGCCCAAGCCTGGACCTGCTGCTGGGGCCATCTCTTGCAAGAATCACAGGGACATTTTTTTACATTTTTTTGGAAGCTTTCCTGTGTTTCAAGCCTTGGGTTTGCTTGCTGTCTGGTAAGGAGAAGCATTTTCAAAACCTCTGACTTGGTCCTACAGATGGGCCTATCTCCTGCTCTCTGGGGTAGCCTGCTTTGGTGTGACCGAGCCCTGGAATTGTCTGAGGAAGGGGGAAATATCTGGTGGTCAAAACAAGTGGCGGAAGAGGTGATTTTCCCCCATCCTTCCCCACAGCCGGTTTTCCATGAGTCAGTTGCATGGTTCCTTCCTGCCCGCCTGGGTTGAGCCCAGAGGCTGTCACCATCGAGTAACACATCTGGCTTGTCCTTCTTTGGCCAAGAGAGGTGATAACTTGAGTGTCTTCCTCTGCCCCCCTTTGCGAGGAAGGTGAGCAGCCCACCCAGCTCTC